TTTTCTAAGGGAAACTTCAAACCCTAGAGAGGCTTTCAAGAGATTTGGATTTTAATCCTGGACATACCCTAGCTACCTGTGCAACCTCACATGACTCTCATGTCTCCGGTTTTCTGAATTGTAAAATGAGGAGATAGATCAACCTCTAAGGTCCTTTTCAGCTTTTAAAAATAGTCCATAAATCCATGTCCATAATGACATGACTCCATCTATACAAAAGCAGTGGAGAACTGAAATAATAGCTAAAAACTAATAGGAAGACAGCACAGTACAGTGGAAAGTACACTAGTTCTAGAGTCCAAGGACATGAGCTGAAATTCTGCCTTTGATACTTACTACTTGTGTGACCTTGAGCAAGTCACTTAACCTCCTTAAATCTCAGTTCACCAAATGTAACATGAGGTAATTGAACTCTTCTAGTCTCAGACCTATGATCCTATTTCAAGGTTGGCCATAAGCCTCTAGCAATATATAAATATCTTAAATACTCAATACCCAAATGAGTTATACTTAGTAATTTGGGGTGTTGTATTCTATGTCCTATAGCAACGTTGGTAGAATACTGGCATTGAAAAGATGGCTCTTTGTTTTCCATAGAATGGTTGGAATCAGTAGTGGAGAGCTAATATTACCCAACTTATAAGCAACCCAGCTTATTCAACACTGTCCATATGTGTCTATACATATATACTATCCCACTACTAAAAGACAAACCCCACCTTATCCATGTGCCAAATAAAAGCAACTTCATATGCATTTTTGAATGCTAATGTTCTTTTAAATAATGTTCTCTAAGAAAAAAGAATAAATCCTTGAGCACTTACAAAGCACTAAATCTGAGAGCATTTTCCCAAATTGCATACTAAGTTATTTTATTTATTATTTCTCATAACTTTTTAACTATTAAAAATTCCTGATATATTTTTTCCCTAGCCCATTCTGGGTGTTCACAAATTATTAAACAATGATTATAACACTTGCTATTTCCCACCTATGTCTACTATATAATGGCTATTTTTTTGAAAGTTACTAACTAAAATTATTTTGTGTACTTCTCTTTATTGCTACTTGACTTGCCATGCCTTCTTACTGTGGGATTTATATTTGGTAAATGCTTTTTGTGTTTGTTTCCTAATCCTCTAGCATCAGCGGGAGGAAGCATCAGGTTTAAAAGCACATGTGTGAAAGACCATGTGGGAATATTAGATATGTATGAGCAATTCTCTGAATAAAAAGATTTAGAACTTGTTAATAAAAGGTGAGTACAATGAAATTGCCTGGGAATGGTATTTAAAAGGTTTCCATCCCTCTACTGGATCTGAGGTTACTCAAATAATTCATTTCTCAGTTAGAGAGCCATGTTTTCAGCTAGGGAAATCCACATTATTTTCCATGGGGAAAAGACTTATAGACAATAAATAAGATTTACTTATTTTCCCTTTAAAATGACATCTTTATTTTTATTTAATATATATGACAACTGAGATTCAAAGAAGAGGGTCAGGTTATGCCTGTCCATATTTTTTTCATGTTTCCTTTTATCTGGAACCAAAACTACATAAGCGTGACTATCAAATTGTTCACTGAAGGTTTTTGTTTGTTTCATATCACTGACTAGTAGATGAGGAAATACTATGTTTAGCAAATGTATTCATAATCATAAGAATCTCATGAACTGTTACAGTACATTATACAAAGCACTGGACAAGAAATCAGAGAACCTAAGTTTTAGATGAGGCTTGGCCACTAATCACATGACCTTGGGCAAGTTTTTTTTTCCCCCTTTAGGTGCTTGTATTTTCCAAGTTGTCAGATGGAGATCATAGTCCTTGCCCTAGCCCCCTCAAAATGAGTTTTAAAGAGTGTGTTATTAAATGCCTCCCATAAGCAAGGCACTCTCCTAGGTGCTAGGGATACAAGGCTGTAAACATAAGGGCCCTTCTCATGTCAGAGTGCTTACAGTGTACTAGTCTCAGATGTATAAAATGCTACAAAAAACAGTCAAATAAAAATTGTTCTAAATGATTTTTAAGTCTTCAAAAACAGTCAGGTTTTATGGATGATACGTCTGATATGCATATTTGAATATTAAAATAACATATCTTCCACATAACTAAAAATGTTACATATGGAAGGTTTTCTTTTTTTGGTTACATATTACCAAAATAAACATTTCAAAACTAAATAGCATTTTGAGGATCAGGATTTTTTCACCTTGAATTAAACCTTTCAGGGCCAGTAGAATGTAAATTAATTGAAGGCAGGGTATGTCTCATTTTTGTGTTTGTATCCCCAATGCCAAGCATGGTCGGTTCTTTGCTTACAACAAAGGCTTATTAAATGCTTGCAGACTAAGTCACGGATTGAGGCAGGATTATTATGATCTTATTTTTTGTGTATGAGAAAAGTGAGGGTTAGAGATGTTCCGTAACTTATTAAGCCACACAGCAAGGACGTTTCAGAGCTGGAACTCAAATCTAGGTGTTCTGATTTAGAGTCCAGCCATTCTCTTTCCTTTTCACCAGAGGTGTCAGACACAGTGGTCTGACACGGCCAGCATATATATGTTGAAATGTAATTGGGAAACGTGATAAAATAATTAAAATATAATAGAACACAGAAATAGAATAGAAAATATAATAGAACATAGAATAGAAAATATAATAGAAATATAATGAAAATATAACAGTTAATCCTAACATATGCTTTTATAAGTCAATATTTGGCCTTATGTATGGCTTTGTCCAGTTATTTTTGATCATATCTGACTCTTTGTGATTCCTTTTTGTTGGCAAAGATACTAGAATGGTTTGCCATTTCCTTCTCCAACTCATTTGCCAGATGAGGAAACTGAGGCAAACAGGATTAAATGACTTGCCCAGGTTCACACAGCTAGTAAGTGTCGGAAGCCAGATTTGAACTCATGTCTTCCTGACTCTAGGCCTGGCACTTAATTCATTGTGCCACCGAGTTCATCCCTAGCTGTATGGGTTAGTGGTCCCCATTTTATTTTTATTTGACACCATTGCTCTATACCACAACAACTCATAAACCAGTGTCCAATTTTCAGGAGATAAGATGCAGCTATCTTGTAGCTACTGTAAATCTTACTTCCACTCAGGGCTGCTGAGGTAGGAGTTGAATCACAAATTTAGAGACGGAAGAAATTATAGGGGCTATCTAGTTCAATTCCCTTATTTTACAGTGAAGAAAATGAGGTTCAGATAGGTTAAGTGACTTGCTCAGGATCACACAGATATTTCTTGACTCTAGCTCCAGCGCTCTAATTACTACATTGTTCTGCCCCTTTATGATGGTTGCTCCTAAATTCCCTACCTGTTTTTAGCTAAGTTTTCATCTCCTAGGTAGCTCTGTGATTAGCCTGAGACCTTTTTGACCCTCAATGTCCCTCTCATGGAAGGCCTCAGGGGCATGGAATATTACAAGCAACTGGTCTGTATATTTTGCAATTTACTTATAAAAGTAAGCAAAACTGAGGCCCTTATATGTTTAGACATTTTTTTTTTCCTTTTGGTGCCCTACTATCTCTGCTTTCAATAGCCCATTTTGGTTTTTCTCTTACCCAAAATTCAGGCAGTTATTCTATTCCAGCAGGACTTTGCTTTTAAATACAATAAGCAAAGTTCTGATTAAGTGTTAATTCCAAAGTTATCTGCATTTAATATAGACTCAAACACCCAAAAGCTTTCAAGACCAAAAGGCAAGAATCTTTAAGAGTACAATTTTAGATAACGCTTCAGCCAGAATAGTAGAGTTTAGGGCTGATAGTCTTGTAGACACTCCACAAATCACATGGCAGCTGCTACCTATACCAAGTTTAGTCCTGGGCCCCCAAGCAGATCACACCATGCAAGCTTCATAATCAGCATCAGCCATCAGGAGAAGCATGTTCTTTTGGCAGCACGACCATCAGGTAGACTTAACCTAAATGAGGAGTGTTGGATAAGGTGTGGGAGTCTCCCTTAACTAACATGTGAGGATGGTTCAAAAAGAGATAGTTGAGAACTGATAGGCCTGCTCATTCATTCCCTGCTGCTGGAAGTGGGTGCAGAAGCCTGCCTCTGTTTGGAGACCATTTCAGCCTGCTCTCCTTTATCTACTCATATCAGGATGGTTCTTGAAACCATGACAGAGGAAAGACAGTAGCCACAGTCCTGGATTCAAGTCACATACTGATTATGCTACATAGGGCTTTATCTTCCAAATTCTAATTCCAAATTTTAATATGTTCCCAGTCTTTTTCTTTCTTTTCTGTTTTTTTTTTTTAAAGAGCAGACTAATGATTTCATCAGTGCTGGGAGTTCCTATTGAGGAAAATCCCTCAACTAATGCAAATCAGGCACTGTTCCCCATTGGTTTTGATAAGGGTGTTGCCTGGACCACTTCTCAGTGGTTGTGACTCGTCCAGTGTCACACAGCCAGTTATATGTCAGAGGCAGCATTTGAATCCAGGCCTTCCCTAAGGCCTTCTCTCTAGCCAATATCACATACTACTTCTGTTACAAGTCTACTGGTCAAATTCTATTCCCTGCCCCATTTTTCATGCTTGGTCAAATACAGACGTCTTGCCAAACGGTTAGCTCCTGACTGGCTTGGCCTTCTGGCCTACCCACTCTACAGTTCATTTGTGGTATCTAGTTTGACCTGATGCCTAAAATGCTGATTTCACACTCTGGGCTTTGGGTCACTATAGGCCATCATCTTTCTACATTGCCCCATCTATATAATCTCTGACCCATTTAATCCAGCCCTGTCCCTGTCACCTAAAATAGATGATGCTACTCTAAAATTATTCAGCCTAAAAAGATTTCACAGAATTGTTCATAGAAAGGAAGATTTCTATTTTTAAAAATTCATTACTAACAATCTTTTTGTTCTAACAGAAGTTGGGAAGTACGATAATCCCTACCCAGAGAAAGCAGAGATGCAAAGTGAACTTGATTGGTGAAAAGTGCCATCATTCAAGAGAATTAACTTACCTGGATAATATCTGGCGAGGCCAGTGGCACTGCCAAACACCTGCCACAGCAATGTAGGATCTTCATCTCGATTTTTTTTGAAAACTTCATCTAAGGCACTTGTCCAGTTGAGTTCATTCAACACAATTGTTGCTGTAAAAAAGCCAAAGGAAAATAAAATCCTTTGAATTAAGGATTTCTTTTGTCAAATCACTGAGCAATTTTACTTCACTTGGTGTTTTATTTTTTAAATTCCGTATTAGGTATCTGTGTATGTATGTATGGGGGTATATATAGATATATATCTGTACATATACATATATATATACACACATAAGTATATAACTACATACATGCATACATACATATTCACATATATACGTGTGTGTGTGTGTGTGTGTGTGAAACTATAGAAAATCCAGTTGGTTGTCCAGTTGTTTTCAGATATTTGTCAATAGCCATAGGCTGTGACTGTATTTGTACAATTTGGAATCAAATTTTGTTGAACATTGGGACATTGGGTCTGATGAGAATGAGATTTGCTAATAGTGTAGGATACTTCATTGTAAATCTGTTAGCACTACTGAAAATATGATGCAAAGAGGAAACCCTATTAGAATTTGGTCTGCATCATTTCTTCAACTACATAAAGCATATTGCTTATCCTATTTCTTTCCAGAACACCTTATCTTTACATCAACCCTCAAGTTCAAAACTGGCTAACAATAGAAAGTAGAAAATATATTTTGGGAAAAAGAAATACATTCTAAGCATTTGCCATCTGCAGATGTAGACTTATGGACCTAGTTAAAAACTGCCTTTGAAATGGCCAAATCTGCACTAAAAGGGATAACAGTGAATAACACAGGTGTGGTATTTTTCTTTTTAATTTATTGCACATCACAGATAATAAAATCAAGTGACTAATGTTCATGATCTGTCAGGAAATTATCATATAGGACATCTCTGCAATAAAGAAATTATGATAATGATTGGACAGTGACTCCAGTCTAAGGGTAAAGACAGGTAATTCTGTGCAGTAATAATGTATTGTCTTTTACAGCAAGGCTGATAGAGCAAATGGGATTGAAATTTAAAAATATACAGGTGTGTGTGGTTTTTTTTTGTGGAAGTAGGGAAGTATTTTAAGAAAGGTGCTAAACACCATCATTTAAATGCTACTGGATAAAAGAAAACATTGAACTAAATACACGTGAATTGTAAAACAGGGTTGGGACCAGCATTCGAAAGCAGGGCTCATTATTACAGGCTAACAAGATTTTCATCTTTATGGATGTGATTGCTTGCAAAGAGATCAGTTGTGTGCATGTTAATATTCATGAGTTGGGTCAGTTCCATAGTGTTCTGGAGACAGTAGAAAATTCATATTCGTAAGCATGATCCAATGAACACTAAGTGACTAGTTACATGGAAATTCATATTCACGGAGATGACCTGAATGGATACTTGTTATTCATGGGTATTTACATTAATATGCAACATAGCATACAGAAGGGGAGCAACAGAGCTTTTCTTTAAACATTTATGAATGTTACAGTACTATTCAACTGAACAAACAATGGAGTTTATTTATGATATAGATAAACTTCATTATCCTCCAATCTGTCCTGAATATCTGCTTAATTTCCCCAAGTCTCTCAATTCACCCTAGGCAGCAGCTGGCATTCAATTAATTTGAACATTGTAAGGTTTTATTTGTTAGCTGGGCCGCTACTATTCGCCTTTGTCTTTTTTTTTTCTTAGTAGCATAGCAGCTACTTTTTTTTAATGGTTAGGTAGGCTGTGAGCTTAGCTCCTTGTATCAGAAATAGAACTACATGGAAATACTGAATGGACAGAAAAAATGTAAATTTTGAAATATGCTTACAATAATAATTTGTTACTAAAATTAATTTCTGTTTTGTAATAAAAACTCATTTGCAAACAAATCCTGATTATGGTGTTTTCAAAATGTTTTTCCTAAATATTAACTCACTCTAATCATTCTAATTATGTTGAACCATGAAAATAAAATTTACTTCCTTCATGAATTTCTTTCTTCCAGCATTATATGTTATACACAATGAGATACTCTGCTGCTAGCATATACCTCATCATACAAACCTGTATATGTATCTAGGCATATAATAATAGCTCACTTTTTTTTAACACCGAAATCTAAGTTTTACAGCTTTCATAGTGCTTTCCTCAAAACAATTTTGTGATATATAACTAGACTCAGTATTGTCCCAATATCAGAGGAGCTGAAAAAAAAAAGAGGCTGTAAGAGTTTAGTTAACTCATTCTTGGTCACACATGTAGCCACCTATGGAAGAGCTGGAACTCAAACGCAGGTATTCTAACTCCGAGTCAAGGGCACTTTTTTCCATTTTAGATGTATTATTTATGCTTTTTCCCCACAGTGAGGCAATTTTTCAATACTCTCCCATCCCAATAAAACCTTCTTCTGTAGCAAAAAAAAAAAATCAAGTTACACAAAATAAGCCAATGCCTTTTCCATTACACCTCAGGGCCTCTCTCAGAGCCTGAGATAAATAATTTTGTACTTTTCACAGACATTACAAAGTATGAAAAAACATATTTCAATTCCTTTTTTATCTGTACTTCATTACTTTTAAATTTGGGAGTTATAAATATCTCTTGAAAATTTGAGAACTATCTTTTTTCGTAGGCAGCTAGGTGGCTCAGTGGATAGAGTATTGGGACTGCAGTCAGGGAGGCCAGAGTTCAAATCCAGCCTCAGTTATTACTGAGCAGTGTGAGCTTGAGCAACTAACTTAACCTTTATTTCCTCAATTGTAAAATAGGCATAATAAGAGCAACTATCTCTCATAATTGTTGTGAGGATAAAATAAGAATATTTGTAAAGCAGTTAAAACAATGCCAAGCACATAGTAGGTGACATACAAATGCTAGTTTCTATTTATTAGTATTCCATTTAGAATAATGATAGCATTTGTATTTTAGTAAAATCAAAGGCTACAAACATACACATTTATCTTTAACAAGACATAGTAGAGCATTAAATTTCATTTTATTGTTGTTACTCTCTAAGTGTTACATAATGCAGTAGCTTTAATTTTTTCATATATGTGTACACACACAAAAATATAGAAAATAACATTAGAAGAATAGTAATATTACCTCATAACACATGTAATGCCACATACACATAGCATATACTTTGTATACAGCCAAATATTACATAATTATAAGAAGCAGTCTTAGTAAAAATTATCATCAAGGTAATTGCATGAAAAAAGGTACTATAACTACTTTTCCTTAATGAAATATTCTAAACATTAATCCATGTTGAGGTTATCACAGCACATTGAGATTCAGTTAAATCATCCAAATAAAATACATTCAGATGTCTTCTCTGTCTCTTTAAATTAAAATCTAACTACTGATATTTTTTTGGGGGGGGGGGGGGGGATAGACAGGATGGTATAGGAGATAAAATGCTGATTTTAAAGTTAGGAAGACCTGGGTTCAAATCTCAGCTTGGAAAGATTCTAGCTGTGTGACCCAGGGCAAGGGGTATCTCAGTGCCTTGGGACTTTTCAAGACATACCCAGTTGCATCTGTAACCTAGTTAGTAGAGGAAGTTTATGACTGATGAGTTCCTTATGCTGATGAAATCACAGATCTCTCAAGTGTTTGCATATGCAAATGGTAGATAATAAATCCATAAGTCACAGTGCCTAACTGAGTGAATGTTTGATCTGAAGAAATGGTTCTACACTGGGAGTTCCCTACACTACTGAAATCATAGGTCTATATCCCACATAGATGGATAGACAGACAGATAATAGAGATATAGCTATATCCATCTGTCTATACACATGCATACACATATAGGTGTGTTTATATTTATATGCACATGTGGTGTGTGTGTGTGTGTTTGAGTCAATGTAATTTCATGGATAAGAAATCAGTCAGTGTCTGATTCAGATAGATTTGGGTTTAGGTAGCATCCATGACAGATACTGGCTATTTAACCCTGATCATGTCAATTAACTGCTTAGTACTCTCAGGAAACCATGAATCTCTCTAGGTTACAGACAAGTTGCTGATCTGTATCTGTGGAAGGGTTTACCAGATGGGGAGTGTCTGAGTGTCTCTGTCTCTCTCAGTCTCAGTTTCTGTTTCTGTCTTCTCTCTTTCTCTCTCTCTCTCTCTCTCTTTCTCTCTCTCTCTCTCTCTCTCTCATACACACACACACACGCACACAGGCATGCTTTGCACTATGTTTTGAGTATCTTTACTGGTACTAGATTTAAGATTTATCTTAAGGTGAATCAGAGATTTCTTTTTTTTAAGTATAGCTTTGTGGTGGGCAAAATGCCACATAACATAGATTTTACTTTCATATTGTTAGTTTTCTTGAAGGAAAATTGGATAAAAGCTCCTTCAAGGACTGTTCTGTAAGCTTTCTATATAGATTATGTTTTTATGTTATTTTTGATTCTTTTATTTAATTGAAGCCTTGCCCAACACAATTTTTAAAATTGAACTGTTCCTGTTTGTTGAAAAATAACTTGAGGAAACTCATGGCAAAGCACTTGTGTGTGAGTATTCATTTTTCCTTTCTACTTTGATGTTATGACATATGACAAAGGATGCAGTATTTGTATTGTGTGTAGGTTTTTCGTTTGTTTGTTTACAGAATTTAGAAATCACCTAGTCCAGTTAAATGAATTGTAAATAGATATATTTTTAAGTAACAAAGGAATTGCTGGTACAACAGAAGAGAAAGTCCCTCATGCTACTGAAATCACAGATACAAAACACCTCCACCCCTACAAAAAATGTATGTACTGAAGGGAAGAAAGATGCTGAGGGGGCAAAAAGGAGAAAAAGTAAAAGTACAGAATAGCCTTGTAGTTGGGAAGATGGCCTGCCTCTGGGCACATACTGGAACCCTATATCATAAGGTTGAGAGCTATAAAGGACATTAGAGCTAAGGCATCTCAGAGCTAATGTGTTTGGGTTCAAGTCTCACTCAATTTTAAAAAATAGTAATCACTGATCTTCCACTTCTTTCTTGGTCCAAAGAACTCAGAGAACATGAATTGTATAACTGTTAGAATTTTCCCCTAGTAGTTTTGCCTTTTACACAACTAGATCTC